TAAATAAATACTTTACAGTTCATTCCTTTGCTTGTCACTTTCTACCATTTGAATTTGCAGTTATTTCTTGCAAATATATTGCCTCTTCTTCCATTTCCCATCCTTCCCTTCCTTTTCCTTCCCTTCCCTTCTTCTGTGCTTTCCCAACTGGATGGAAATCTCCATCTTCTCATAGTATCTTATTTGACAAATATATTGCTTGGTTCCTGAAAATCCAGGTTTTGCACCCTCCCAAGTGGTTGGTGCTTCTAAAGGAGGGCAAAGTTTTTATTTTTTCTCACTGTATTTAATATCTCCATAAACCCCTCCCTACTTTCTGAATTCAGAGCCACTCTGTTGACAGTTGAGCTCTGAGACCGTAAGTTTGAGATGATTATGTGGGTGTGGGGTAAAGAAGGTGTCACTGAACATTTAAAACTCCATCCCACTCCTGCAGGAGAGGCAGCCTGTGCTGCTTCAGTCCCAAACCATCATGCTTGTGAAGGGCATGCTGTGAAAACACAGAAAATGTGTGCACAGGCCATGGGAAAGGATTAGCAAAGGACTGCACCACACAGCAGTAATGCAAAAGAAATGCCTGTAGAATATTAAAAGAATAAATCTGAGAAATGGCCTGTGAGGTAGGGAATTTAATAAGGATGATAAAGGAAACTTGGTCAGAGCTATGTTTACCTCAAAGCACATTGTATTTAATTGTGTTTTACTTTTGGAGTTGCTTTTAACCTGATTGCCAAGTGATACTGCTGCTGTCCTAATTTCAGATCACTCTGACCATCTCACCTGTAATCTCTTTACAAGTGATGCCATGAGCTGGGACTTGTCACCTGACGTGTCACTCCGCATGGCAGCATTAGGCTTCAGACACTCTATCACATCAAATCACTCAAACAGGGAGATTCAGAAAGAAATCTTGACATGCAAGGCAGGCAGCTGGAGAGCAGCAGGAGATTTGCAAGGCTGAGACCCATCTGTAATTCCACAATGGAGGAATTTCTCTTGTTCATCCCAGTTTTAGTAGTTTATGTGACATGTGCTTGATACACCTATAGCTGATACAAGGTCAGACTCTGCTTTTGGCTACACTGGGGAAAATCCAGTGGATATTGACAGTTCTTGGACATGCACTTGTCCAAAAAATTAATCAGATATACTCTTCACTTAGAACAGTCCCAAGCAAAAAAAAAGCAAAAGCTGAGATTTCTCACAGATGGAAAATGGTCTTGCAAACTCTTAGGGATCATCTACTGCCGGAGACAGAAAAGCCCTAGGAGAACTGTGGTTTCTTAATGCCTGAAATATGTGCATGTCACAAAGCAGTCATCAGCACAAAACTTTCCAGCTGAAGCAGTTGGAGTGTATGAACTCATTAAGTAAACTTATTTTTAGCTAGTGTTAAAAGTGATCTTAAGTACCTTGATGATCCATTTTCTCCTTTAATAAACACAGTCTTTTTGTGCTGTATGACAACAGAACAGCAAAGCAGGTCTTTCTGTGGCAATTTAATGACACAGAATCTCAGCTTCAGTCAATTTGGTGAGGATAGAATGTGAAACTGCCTCCCAGGTACAGGACAATTATGCACAAGAAAACCTTTTGCAGGAAAATTTGCAGGAGTCTGGAAAACACCATGAATCTGTCTATTGAGAAAGGTCCATGTCAGGCTTCCATTACCAATTCCATTAAATACTCAGATGGATATGTTAGTTTCTGCTTCTCTAATAAGAACAAAGTAATTTAATTTGTAATAGTTATCTATGTAATACCTTTTCCCATGGGTTTGGAGGGTGTTACCCCAGTACATTCTCACAGAGTAAAGATAAAACATTCTGGGTTTATGCAGTTCAGATTTTTGGATGCCCAACTTAAAGGACTTCAGAGTTTCAAAACTGCTGGGAATTTGCATTTTCTGGTGGAATTAAAAGCATCTATCAGTGTGCAGGAACTGGGCCTAGGATGTCTCAGAAAGCCTACTCAGAACAGAACCCTCCTGCAGCATGAAGTGAGTCACCCCAGATCAAAGAGCAGTTAGAAAGTGAGGCAAGGCAGAAAGCAGATCTTGTGACTCTGGTATCTGTGTGGATGATGAGATTATCCTGCTCTGCAGAAAGCTGTGCCAGAGCACTGACCTATTTACCAGCCTGGGTCGCTTCCATTAGCTCAGTAGTTATTGTCCTGTTGTTTTAATTAGTGCCATTTCAAATAAGTGGCCAGCCGTGTAGAAAGGTCAGTACCTTTCTAAGCTCTTCCTCTGTGCAAATGAGGTTGCCAAGGAGACAACACCAGAACAGTAATCAATCCCTGTTAGACCTGGCCAGGACAGCGTTGCTGAGCTGCTCACAGGCACAGCTCACTCCACAGGATGATTCACTCCATCAGTGGAGCTCAGAGCAAACACTGCTCAGCCCCGGCCCAGCCACACATGGCAGGTACAAACATGTTTTGAAACAATACCAGCTGTTAAAGCATTACCTTTGATGAGGAGCAAGAGCAATAAATCCCGTTCAGGAAGAGCTGGGATTATCTGGCAATATTCTCTCTAGGGTACACATCAAACAAGCCCTCAAACATGGACTCTATCAGTCAGGAAATGCAGCTGATTATTAATGTTCAGATCCATGTTGATGTGCCATCCAGCTGGCAGGGTAACTCCCCCACTTCTCTTGTTAAATGTAGTGCCTGTTAAAAGGCCTGTCTTGTAAGTTTGTCTACATCCTTCCAACAAAACAAAGCTTTGAAAATGGAACACAGTGATCATGGCATTCAGTCTGGCTTTAGAGGCAAAGCTCAGGTCATTAGCATTGCCTCATTTCCCTTCATGGGGCTGGGAAGCAATTCTGTACTCACCAAGGAGTGATAGGGAACTCACATGAAATTGTTACCCAAATCAAAGGAACTGTACAATTCCTGATGCTATTTACAGAAGTGAATAAATAATGGAGGAGTATGAATCCCATTGCCTGCAGCAGCACGTGCTGTATGTGGATATATGTACAACTTTTAAACACTACAGTCTATCAACAGAACAAAAACTTTCAGAAATAACAGTATCAGACATTTAAATCTAAAGATGTCTTGACAGGTTATTAATCTATCTCTTGGTGGAGTCTTTTTATTTCCTGCTAATAGAAACTTACTGCCTAAATGCAGACATTTTAAAGGAAGAACATGAAAGGCACTTATATATGTGTAAAATTTAAAATTTTTAAATACTTTATTTTTTAGAATTAAGCCTAATTTAATAGATCATGCTGGATTAAGCTCCAAAATCAGTGACATGTTTGCATTTGCATGAATTAGTGAAGGAGAATAATCTATTTGTTTGAGTTTACAAAGGGTTTTCAAGCTCTTAACTGTGGAATCTTATCCAAAAAACTGTGCCTCTTGCAACAGAGAAATCCTTATATTCCTGTTGAAATACTAGTATGGTACTGATTCAGGATGAAAAATAGAATCTTAAAATGAACTGAAAGGGTTGTTTACAGTCCTTTCAATAAGCTTTGGATCAAGTGATTAGTGGGGTATCAGTCCCACCACTGTAATTCTAGCTTGATTTTATTTCACCAGGATGTCTGATCCAGCCTGTAACACAGCCCAGACCTGTTTTGGTTAGGGCATATGGGGCAAGGTCAGAAATGACATTAAAGGGATATGTACCAAATGAAAATATTCACAAAAAAAAATGATGTGATGTAGAATTGAGAGGGTGCAATCAGGCAGGATGCCAACAAATACTGCTTACATTTTAATTTTATGTAAATAACAAAATATAGAGGATTCAGGCAGACAGGATTATGTGATTTCTCATCAGATGGGAGGCACAATTGCTTATGCTGATCTGCCACAAAGAGAAATATGCTTATTAAAAACTACTCCTTAGGTTTCATGCTGAGTATCTTTCTAATGGAAAAAATGCTCCCAGCTGATGGATAAAATATTGACCTTATACAGAAAATATGATTTAAAATATTATTAGCATTATTATATTTATTCTGCCACAGTTCCCACATCACACACTGAATATTTCAGCTGTTTATATAAATGGAATTTTGATAAATTTCAAAACTAAATCTCTCAAAAATACCCACCAACAAGATAGTTTGTATGAAATTTTGAATCCATGTTTAGCTGAACCTTTAAAAGATAATAAAAGGAAGGAAAATTCTACACTGTATCCATAATATGACTGAGAAAACATGGCAGGTTGTAGGTGATCTGTATTTTGAATATCTACCAAGTGTGGTACCAAAAGGACTTTTTTCCCACATAACTATACAATGTTTATATCTGAAACATCCATCTTTATGAAGAGGTGCTTTTACTTTCAAATTAGATGAATTCAGCCCTGAAATTTGCATGGAAATACATTTTCTAGTCTTCTAGAGCTGTATACATGGCCATGGCTGTGTAGTTGGTTTTCAGGTAAATGCCTGACTTCAGCAACTTTAGAAAGTATTTGTTTTCATCTCTTCAATTTACATGTTTATTTCATCTAAATATAATTTCAAACCTTTTACTAGACTTTTTTTCTAATGAAACCATATAAAATCGAGACACACAGGCAGTTTGAGATAGTGTTTTCCCACCAGGATGAAGCACATATTGCAGAGTCTTGTCTTTCTTGTGAAGTTAATTAAAGCCTTTCATTGCTTTCATCAGAATAAATTGCTACAGATAGTCATCAGTATTTTGTGACTTACATGACTGAAATATGGAATAGGAATATGATGCACACTTTTACTGATTTTATGCATGTTGGCACTATTTGGTACTCACATTGTCATAATTCAATTGTTAATTTTTTTAAATAAGATTGATCGATATTTCATATTTGTTTGTTTTTTTAGCATTAGCTCTGCATTAGTTGTTCAGGGGCAAGAATGAAGTTCTTCTAGATTTCTACTTGCCATTCACACTGGTATTGGAGAGAATGTAGTATGGATTCTGCATCTTATCCACTGGAGAATAACTGGGGTTTGGTTTTGTTTTGCCTTGATTTCCAGAAAACTTAGATACAATGATAGCTGAGCAGACAAAGAAGAAGCTTGAGAACCCTTCCACTAAAACCAGGACAAAACTAACAGCAGGTACTCAGTCTACAATTTTCTTTTCTGGAATAACACTTTTTTTTAACCAATTCAGTTAAAAGTATGCTAATTGCATTGGCAGCCTGACTGCTTGTTAAAGCCACAGTCTCCCAAGGACCTGCACCAAGCCACAGCTTGGTTGTCCAAGCACACAACAACAGAGAAATTTTCACTTAATTGCCCAGTTTTGAGAAGTATATTCACTCTCTTTTGCTTCACTGGAGTCCAAATGTTACACATATACAAAAGCAAGCTATATCAGTGCTTTTTAATACTAAAATAATAATGAAAAATAATTATTTGTCGACTTTGAATATTGCAAATGCAAATTTCATAGAATTTTTCTCTGCACAAAGAAATGTGCCTTTGCATTGCAGTCACCTGTATTCAGCTATGGTTTGTGAGAGCAGAAACAAGCATTCCTCTTTCCAGAGGTCTGGAGTAGAGATGACCTTTAGGAACCCTTTTGGGACAGGCTCCAATGAGGCTCTGCCTCAACCAGCACTCAGAATGCTTTACTTGCCAGGATTGTATTGATGTGATTGGGAAATGCTCCTGGACATTTGATACAAAATTCTTTGCTTTTGTTATTTCTTTAGACAAGAGCAGTGAAGAAGCAGACAGTACAAAGGAAGAAGCAGCTAAAATGGAAAAGGAATATGAAGTTTCAAAGGATTCTACAAAAAATGAAGGACAAAATGCAGCGGGAAACAGTGAAGAATCCAGAGGTACAGAATATTGCTTTTCCTCCAAGGGATTGGAGTCTTTTCCTTTCTTTGGTATTGATTTTCCATGGTGTTAGCATAAATATCTTCAGTCTATAGTCACTGGAAATCAGCACACAAGAGCTTGATTCAGAAGTGTATTTATCTGCCAAGTTTTAAACATATCACACTACATCCCTTGCTGAGCAGACATTCACAGAATTCAGAGACCCCTTTAGAACAATAGGAAATGCAGTTTGATCCAGTTGTGCAAATAAATTTTGCTTCTTTGCATCTGTGGCTTTTCAGGATGGCCATAATATTCAATATTTGAGCGGGTCCATTGATTTCTACAGTTTGTAGAGAGCAAGCTGGTACTCAAAGGCAGTGAAGAGTTCTGCAGTGATACAATTTACATTTCCCACTGCCAGAGGTTAAAGGTTATCAGTAATCAACCCATTTTATGTAACATTGAAAACATTGCAGTAAGTTAGTGTCTCCCTAAGCAAATGTAGCACAGTAGTACAGTTATTTTTATCATGCCTCAGCATGAATTACTCTGTACTGGCTGAAGTCTCCTAGGTGCAAATCAGCTACTCTATCTGAAAACAAATCTGCAGGGGACATTGTGCCTCCTTATTGTGCTGAACTCTTGAAGGAGAATGTTTGTTGGTGCAGAAACCTTTCAGTGAGTTCTTATTGCAAAGGGTACAGCATAAGTATCTATGTTTTGTAATCAGTTGGTTAAACAAAATTGCTTCTTTTGCACCTGTGCTGTCTGATGCTCTTACTTTTTGGAATGCAGTGTTTTCACTCAGGCTGCTCAGTAATGAATGGCAGGAATCAGGACTGCAGTAGATTGTAGTCCATCAGTCACCTGGTTCAGCTCTGTGGGCAGTGCACTCACAGGGGGAAGGTGCCATTTTTTCCAGCAGCTTATTTATTTCAACATGGAAAAGGAAAATAGCTCAAGGTGGATGTCTGATTTCACAGTAAAGAAAAGTTATCTCAATACTTTTTGGTAGGAAGTGATAAATAACACATTTTTCTTGTCTCTTGAAGGTTTGTCTTTTCAGTTTGGTTCAGGTTATTTTCCTTTATCTTCAGCCCATTAGCTTTTTAGAAATTCAAATTGGATCAGTATTTGTTCTTTATCTCATCATGCAATGCCCTTGCTTAACTTACTGTGAAGTTACTGCACTGCCAACTCAAAAATAAAGGTGTATCTAATACTGTATCCATTTACTAACAGGAGCAGACATGCATAGTTGGCAATAGTAACCTTCTATACACTAATCACACCAGGTTTTTTTTATTCCTGACAAATGTAAGAACATTACATCAATAAAGCTCCAGCCAAGCTAAGAATCCAAAATCCATTAGCTGGAATATTTTCTTGGGGGCCTTATTAGGTAATCCTTGTACTAATTGTGTCCTGGGTGCTTTCTGGTCCAAAAATAGCCATCACTTTAAATTTCAACTGTAACAAAGAGTTATCATGGTAATTTCAATATATTTTTTTCTCTGTAAATACATTTCAAGTTGTCTTTCCAAAATATTACAATTTTAGGTTTGCTGTATGCTGCTAGTACTACTGTATGGAGGAGTTTTGATACTGAAAGCTCTCAGCCCTAATTAAGTCATTCCTTGCTATCTCAACAGCTTTTTCTTTGCTGAACAATTATGATGATCAAAAAGCTACAGGTTGTTTTTAATCCACATATGCAGTCACTGTGGATGCCACCAAAAGTTATGCATAAAGATCAGAAAAACAACGATCCTAAGTTTGTGTATGACTAATCTTGCACAGGCAACACCTGCTAACCATCTCTGGGAATTTTGCCTGACTGAGTTTGACAGTACTCAGGTTTTAAACAGAAACTAAGAATAGTTTTAATCTGCCTTTGCTGTGACCAACTTCACCCAGTTAAGCAAGCTGCATCAATCATTGATGTAAGTGCTTGATTTCTCTCTCATCCTTTCCTCCAGGGAAATCTGAGGCATATTTGGAAGCAATCAGGAAGAACATAGAATGGCTGAAAAAACACAATAAACAAGGTAACAAAGAAGGTATGAAGTAAAAGGTCTTGACATTGGGGTGGGCGCCATATGCATTAAAAAGCAAGTAATTTCTATTGTGTTGTATAACTTGTGCCATACCTTAAATAATAGTAATGTGAAACTGTGCTTGTCTAGATTATGGTGATCATTAGTGGTGGTAGAGTTAAATAATACAGGTCATGTAAAAGTTAAGCCAATGAACATAAATAGTGAACTAAGGTAGATTAATGTAAACTGGGTCGAATGGCCACTGGCCACAAACCCAGAGAGACAGAGCAGCAGGGAGTCACTCCTGTGCTGTCCACAGTCATGGTGGGCTGCCTGTCACCAGGTAGCTGTGCCAGCTTGGGCTAGTGCTGCATTTCTTAGCTCATCATGTTGTTTGATTATGACTTTGTTGGTGAGATAGATGCGTTTGAAATGTCTGGGTATGTCTAGAGGAGCTCAGTGCATCTGGCTGGCATCCCTGCACCAACAGCAACAAGTCTGGCTCCACAAGCAGGAACAGCTGAGATACAAACTTATGTCAGTAGCACTGAAATGCACTGGATTACTGCCCAAATCAACTCAAATGGCTTGTAGCTCTGACATGCAAAGCTGTGTAGAAGGGAGCAGTGGCTGAAGCAGCTGCACAGGGTTTGCTCTCCAGCTGTCCCAGCATTTGCCTCTTCCTCGGAGGCAGGGCTGTGTCAGAGCTGCCGGCAGGGACAGAGCAGCAGCAGAATTCCTCCTTTATTTCTCACAGATCTTTATTGCTCCATACCATCTTTTCCCTCAAGTTCTTACATAACACCAGCCTCCCATCCCTGTTCTCTGCCCTGGCTGTGTGTTCTGCCATGGCCTGCTCTGGAAGTGAAGGTTCCTAGCCAGAGGATCTGTCCCTGGGCTGTGAGTGGCGCCTGGTGAGAAGGATCCTTCTTGCACCAGCCAAGCAGAGGGTGATCTGAGATGAGATTAGCCCTGGGTCATCTATCCATCCTCTCTGTGTGTTGAAGTGTGTATGAATTCCATTTCAGAGATGAGTGCACGCCTGCAGCCCAAAACATTCATTTTTCTGTACAGAAGCTGTATGAGGAAAGACTATAAAAAAAAACCACTCCCCTCTCTCAAATCACTTCCACACAATGGCAGGGATAGCAGTTAGCAGCAGGGCTGCATATTTGCTCGAGAGTTTCCCTGCCAAGTTTAATTAATGGTTCTGTTTAGCAATGTACTCATCGATGTAATTAGATCTCCATCATGTGTGATTATATCTCTGTATCCCACGTGCTGCCTGAGCAGCCCCTTGCTCCTCTTTGTAGTAATCTTTCTTCTGCACTGCTGCAGTCTGAAAATGGCTGTGACTGCAGAGCAATAGCATTTTATCTGCCTGTGAATGCATGAAGATATATATATCTGTGTAGATGGATTTTCATTTGCACTAAGATATCTTTATTGTCCTCTGGCAATGGAAATAAGCCTTAAAGTGAGTGCAAGTTATGACAAAATTAGAATAGTATTCTTACTCTTCTGATACATCATCTTTATTGTGCCTTTTCATACTCTTTATTTTTGTAAAATGCTAATTCAGTTCCCCATGGATGGTGCTAAAAGTACAGTCAGGGTAAGCTTATCTAACTATAAATGCATTGCAGTGTTTTTCAGTGCAAGATTAGGTGGTGTTGCTGTGCTCATCAATCATTTCTCCACTTCCAGCTGGCACCTGGGGGCTGGCAGGAAAGCAATTCTCAAAGTAATTCATGTATTAAAATGGCCAGACTTTCCCAGCCCTACTCATGGATTGGGTTACTCACCAAATACCCTTGAAGAGGTTTAGGTTTTCTTCAAGCAAATGTTTGGGGGTCCTTCATTTTTTATGAATTTCAGTAGATATTATTCATTCAATACTAATAACCCTGGAAATGTTGATTTGCATTTCTGCAGTTTGGAATTATCAATTGCCTATTAAGGAGGCTGGTAAGCTTGTGGGGCTGGGATGATTTTAAGAGAAACATGTCAAAACCCTGGATTTTGGGCTCATTGCCTTTTGTGTCCAAAGTTTGGTTTTGCCTGTTTACAATGTTCAGACTCCATGGGCCTGTCCTTCACATCTCCCAGACCTGGCCTGATGCTTGAAACCATTGCAGAGCTGAGCATTTAACCAGTACAGGCAAAGAGCATGAGGGGGCTGTTCAACAAACATTTGATACTTCAGAGCTTCACACCACTAACAGCAGCCATTTCAAAATGAAAGTAAATCCTGTCATTAATTTCAATGGCAAATGGCTTCATCTGAATATGCAAATAAGAGCTCTCTTCATTTACTGGAGTTGTTCCACAGCTCCATGTAATGCTGCAGCTGTTGCAGTGAATCAGCATCCAAGGCTGATTTTTCTAATTACAATAGATTCTAAATAAGTATTAGAAATTGGCAGCTATCAATTTCTAGAAAAAAACCCAATTTAAATTGCTGTGAGATATACAAATTAGCCTGAATTGGATAATGTTAAAATGGTTGTAATCCCATACAGGATGTTTAGAAATTAAACCTTCACATCTCCACATAATAATCTTAGAGTCAGAAAAAGTATTCTAGAAGTCAAATAAGCACAGATACTTTAATTTGAAAAATGTGGATATTAAATTAATTTAATATTTGTTCTTCATTCATTTCCATTCCTTGGTATCTTTCAATGGAGACCCTCATTCTGTCAAGATGAATAAAATCACTCATCCCAGTTACAAAATAGCTCAGTACTATTTGTCCCTGTTACTCATACAGGATGGAGACACAAGCAGGTTACATTCTTGTGAATAATGACAGTAACAGAGCAGAGGAAATCCTCCCCTCAGTACAGCAAATGGCAAAATTCCTGCTAACTCAGATATGGAGAGAATACCTCTGCAGGAGTGGGGAATGTTGAATATAAATTTTCTGTATTACTAATTTGAAATTGCCTTATGCTTTTGTAAAAATGATCACAGGCATCAATTTGCTTCTTAATATCTTTCTATTTCTGTTTTGGTCAATTTTTGAAACCTAAAAAAATACAAATTCATTATTTTCTATTTTGTCAAGAATGCACAGTTTGAAAAAAGGTTCTTCCACATACTGCTGTGTGATGTTATACATTGGACATTGCAAAATCAGTTTTAATGTATTCTGAAGGCTCTGTCTGTGGAATAAGTAATTTATACTGAAAAATTCAGAATGTATTCATTCTTGTGAAATATACTAATTCATTTAACTTAGTATGAACATTTAAAACATTGCTGTTCTTCTGATTCTAACAAATTAGGCTTTACATTTATCCAGTTAATTATGTAACTGAAACCTTATTGTGTTTATATGTGAATATACTGAATGTGTTGCCAGAGTCACAATAGGTTTGCTTTCTATGTTATTTGAAAAATTGCTCTGCAGTAGAATTCTTTCCATGGAAAATAGTGATGTTCTCCAGCAAAGGAAAAGTCTATTTAATGCATATGGTGTGAATCAGGCTGCATAGATGCCCTCATCTATTGGAAAAGGAGGAGGGATCTTTCAGCACTCTGTTGCAGATTGACAGAGGAAGATTGTCAAAAACTGACACTAACACTGTCACAAAGGCTGCTCACTGCAGTAGTTTTCAAAGCAGAATATTATGTTCTGTATCAAGGTAAATAATTGTATTCTTTTGATCTATTTTCAGGGAGTTGCTTTCATTTCCACTACAATGGTAGTAAGTGGGAATTTTACTGGGATTTCAACTGGAAATAGTCTATTTGGTACTTTCTTTTGATTCCATGACAGTTGTGAAAATAATAGGGCACAATAGCTTTTGCTGTGCAGACTAGAACATTAAATCCCTGGACTGGAAAATATTCTTGCTGTAGCATTTGATAGCAATCCATCAAAAGCAAGAGATGATTATTTCTCTTGGATAATAAAAGCAGTATGCTGTGTAAAAAGACTTTGTGCAGATATTTTGTGCAGATACTTTGTGCAGATTATTTTCAGGTTTTTTATGTTTTCACAAGATGTACTTAGAGAGAATTCTCTTCATGTTTGATAAAGTGCGTTGGTTGGATAAAATGTACGATGACATTGTGTCTTAGGTGAAGCAGTGTAATGGCAATGACTCATTGTGCAAATGAATTCTTGTTTTTCAGACTATGATCTTTCAAAGCTGAGAGATTTCATTGATCAGCAAGCTGATGCTTATGTGGACAAGGGCATCCTGGACAAGGAGGAGGCTGATGTAATTAAACGCATCTATGGCAGCCTGTAAACGTCAGTGACTGCCAAACCTGTAGGAATCTAGTCTAGTTCCCCCACTCCTGGCTCAATGACTTATGATCTGTTAATTTGAGGATATCATTAGAAATGCTCTGTTTACATTGTACTGACAACTCTAGACAGAAATGAAGAGCTGTAGTGCTCCATTCACTTTCTGCATACTGTATTTTCCTACATTCACAAATCAACCCTAAACACCAAATTCTGACACTGAATTTCTATTTGATAAGGTAAATATTTCTGTAATGGTCTCTTTGATTTATTGTTTGTGGTTTACTTTTGTAGCTAAACCAATCATTTCTGATGGAAATTTCTTTTAATGCTGCATTTTTTTGCTTTCACTCAACGAGCTTTCTATAGATGTAACTATGTAAAGGGGCATTATTAGAAAATAGTCCATAGTTCTCTAAATAAAGTATTTGAAAATAATTTCCCTATTAAGGTTTTCATTAATCTTAATATTATTTTATATTCATTTATTTTGATTTTAAATACTAACACTTTTTTTTAATCCTTTTTTATTTCTCTATGTAGTATTCTGTAATGTGGACTGTAGTGTCCTTAGCTAATTGATAAATCTAAATCTTAGACATTACAATTGCCTTCCATATTAGAAGAATATTCTCCTCTTCAGCATGTGTGAACATTCTCTTTGCACCATTTGATGATTGTGCATGCATAATAAGTTGAATTCCTGATGTGAATATCCTGATAGCAAGTGTAAATAGCCATTGCTTTCTCTAAAGAAAAAAAAATAAGAAAGCAATTCAAGTCATTTTGTACGGAAAGGGAAGTTTGCAACTAGAGATGGTTTTTTTAGGAACAGGAGCCCTGCTTTTCAGAAAGACTTCAAGAATCTATTGTATCTCGGTATCTCTGAATATCAAGGCTGTGGTCTGATTACTGACCTCTGTTCTGTGCTGAGCAGTATTGTCTTGGAGAACTTATTTTATTTTATTGGCCTATATATGCTAGCATTAGCCAAGAATTTGGTACTTCCCAAAGAAACAAAAAGAAAAACAAAAATGTCATCCTCATTCTTCTTCCTCAACTAACAAAGTTTTGGAAGAATGGTTTATGAGGTCTTTTACCTTAACGTGAGTGAATAACTTTATGTATGAAGAACTGACAAAGCAAGATCAAAGGTAAAGAAGCATTTAGAAAGGTAAATTTCAAACAGAGTCCCAAAAGATGTAAGGCCTTAGACTCAGCTGAGTAGAGGAACTCCAGGAAAGCCCTGTACTCTTTACTTACAGATTCTTCATTCATAACCAAGGTTATCCCTTCTCTGATTTTTTTTTTTTTAACTTAAGATATCTCTAAGATTGATACAGTTAAAAAATGTTATCTGATGCAGAGGTTGAAATTTGCCTGCCAGTGAATGGAGATACTGACTTAGAGCACTGCCTTACAAAGTTCTCTAAGTGTTAAGTCACTCCTTGGGGCATTTCCTTCCTCACAGCTGGAGATTAAAGAGGAGGAGATTTGAGCAATGTTTCTCAGCCAACTGAAGTAAACTCTGGAATCCCTACAAAACATAAATTGTCAACTGAGCATTACTGATAATCAGCATTAAGTGAATGTGATAGCACTGAGGTGTAACAGCACAACTCCTTGAAAACTGATGAAACACAAGCCAGTGAATGTTTTCTAGTGTTCACAAAATACATCATCACTGCCTGCTCATACACATCCTGACATGAATCACTGAATTGCAGTATCAGTCACTAATGGTAAAAACCATATTCAAAAATGTAATCAATGTAAGCTTCCTCTGACAAATAGTCCCTTAGAAACTCTATAGAAAAAAATAGGAAAAAAGAACTGATGTTATTTTAAATCCATACATTTGTTCTCATCCAAACCCTCGTTTGTTTATTATTATTTACTGTTGTTCCCAAAGATCCGAATTTCTTAATGTCTCTGTAGATCTCAGTTGCATTCTGCAACAGCTTCTGACTTCCTTTCTTATGTGACCATCACGTGGGAAAAGCAAACTGTTTCCCAAATTTGGATTTATGACAGAAATCAGGAGGATGGTAACTAACCATAAACCTCTACAGATAGGGAAGTGACAGGGACCTAGGATCTGCACTTGAAAAAACAAAAAAGGACAAACTGTCCTTCTCCAATGACTACTTTTAAAAATACCCCAAATTTCCTTCTCCTGTCAACATGATGAGTAGTATAAGAATAATTTCAGTTTTCATTGGAAGTTAGTTTCTTACTTTGTCCTCTCACAAGTCTGGTACTAAAGGGCAGATGTCATCGACCAGTGACTATGAACAGTGTGTGGTGATACTTGTTAACCTCTCAGTTTTGCAAATTTTATAGCTTGAACAATGTATCAGTGGCATAACTTAGTAAAACAAAAACCCAACAATGGGTATGCCCTGATTGCATTTCAGAGTATGCACGTTCTTGGAGTTGTTCTGTACTTACCCTGCTGCTGTGCATCCCTGGGGGAACACATGGAGATCATTGGAGCCACCTGATGAGTAGCTGAGAATGGGGCAAGCCTCTGACAGATAGACCAGAAATCACAGCTATGGTTCCTCAAACTAAATTCACTTTCCATCCTGCCCAAGCCACTAAACTTGTTCCTTGAATGCTTCAAATACTGGTTCCATTGCTGGTACATGGAATGAACATCTATCTGTACATCACACCTTTCAGAACCAGACAGTGAAACACAGCCAGCCTGATGAATCACCCTGCATTCCTCAAGGGCTGTGACTTACCCAAAATAAAATCAAACCAATGATGCAAGTTTCAGCTTGCATCACAGATCAGTACTTATTTTGCAGGGAACACTTGGAGCACATTAGGACCTGACATGCACTGCTGTGTGTTTAGCCATAATTAGTAAATCATAGTGCTTGCTTTCTTCCTGGTAAGAAAGGTATTTTCAACAACTGCACATCTCTGTTTCAAAACTGACAAAAATCGGTTTCTGTGTTGTTTCTATCTCTGCTGGATCCTTCAGAAATCCTTCACTTCTAGATTATGACTGAAAATGTAATAAGTGCAAGATATATGGTATTCACCTTTTGAGCTTTTCTAATAGACTATTGTTTCTGATACTGTACTTTATTAAACACTTTACTACAAGCTACATTAGTGTGCTGCTTTTGGCTGGGGTAGAGTTTATTTCTCCACAGTAGCCAATTTAGGGCTATATTTTGGATCTGTGCTGGAAACACAAATGTGTTGATAACACAGAGACGTCTTCATTTCTGCTGAGCAGAGCTTGCACAGAACCAAGGCCTTTTGTGCTCCTCACCCCACCCCTGAGGAGGCTGGGGGTGCACAAGAATCTGGGAGGGCACCCAGGCAGGACAGCTGATCCCAAATTCCTTAATACAAACCCCATGCCAAACCCTATCCCCATCTCCTAACCCTAAACACTAACCAGGGGATGTTCCAGACTATGGGGGGACACAATGTAAGAAAATAAAGATAGTGCAGAAGGTAATCTCACCCCTGAGGAGTTGCAGCTGTACCAATCACCAGAGATTGGGAACAGGCCTGCCCTTAACAGGCCACAGCTGTGTCCAATGAGGATGAGTGCTATAAAAGAGTGGGTTAGGTAGGTGAGGAGAGAGCTGGAGTTTGTTGGCTGTGCTGTGAGGAGTTGACCATGAGAAATCAGCAAGGTATGGGAGCTTTGCAATAAGATGACAACACCAAACTGTGTGGTGCCATGCTTGGTGTGTAATGCTGGGGAAGGGGTGTTCAGAGTGGCAATGTTTGTTTTCCCAAATAACCTTGATCTAGGGTGGAGCCCTGCCTTCTTGAAGATGGCTGAACACCTGCCTGCCCATGGGAAGTGCTGAATGAATTCCTTTCCTTTGCTTTCATGCCCAGCTTTTGCATTATGTATTAAGCTGGCTTTATCTCAACTTGTGAGTTTTCTGCCTTTCACCCTTGTGGTGCTCTGCCTCATCCATTTCTGGGGGGAGCGAGGGGCTGAGCTGCCAGCTGCGGTTAAAGCACAAGAAGCAGGACAAGGCTGCTGTTGTGTATCAAAGAGAATGCATCTTTTCTATGCACTGCCCAGCTTTTTGAGGCTGTGGCAGTTTTCTGTTGGGGAAAACAGGTGCAAATGCTGTGTGTCCTTCAGGTCCTGCAGCCCACAGGCACAGCCCTGCTCTTGGAAGGCCCAAGTGAATTGTGGCTTCCCAGAGGCTGGGCAGCCCAGTCTGGGAGGCAGGAGGTGCAGTGCTCCTGTGTCAGGGAGCTGTTCTGACCTGCTTGACAAAGAACCCCCAGCCTGGCTGTGCTGGAGCACTGGGGATATCCCTACAACAGGTCTTCAGTAGAAAAGGATTACATTTTTCTGTGGAATAATAAAATATAGCTGGGCTTGAAGCTAGGGTGGCCTTTAGAAAAGTAGCTGGTTCTGGCTTTGTAATGTTCTAATGAAATTAAATGACAACAAGAGAAGTTACAATTGTGTAAGAAATAGATACACTCTCAATCTAAGAAAGATACAAGACCAAAAGGTAATCCACCAGTCTCTTGAAGAAAAATCAGGACTTATTTTCTCAACTCTAAGCTTTTTCTGTTCTTATATTGTGTGCCACTGCACACCTGCTCCTAAGGACAGGAAAAGCAGCCTTGGGCTAGGGTGTTTCTGAGGGAGAACATGTGGAGGTAGCCATGTTGTGGCAGTTTTGTGTTCCCCTTGGGATGCCTTTGGCAGCTGCCCTGTGCCTGCAGTCTCTGGGCTCTGTGGTTCTAACTAACCCTAGGTGTAACCCTAACCCTAGGTACAGCAGTAAAAGCAGCCAGTTCCTGCTGAGCTTTGAGTTTTTAGTTCTGCTTTTAGGAAGTTAATGAAACTTTCTCTTTTGTTTCCCTGTTAACATACTGCTGAGAACTTTTTATTCTAGGGTGATACTGATGATCTAAGTGATAGGAAACTGCATCTGTTTCAGTTGGGATCCATCAGATCTTTAATGACAAAACTTTTGTCAAGTTTATGGAATCCTTGGGCAATAAATCTAGGATATTTAACAAGTTCCTAATACCCTAACTTCAGGGCAAGAGTGATTGCAGGTTGCACTCTATGTCCCTGAGCTGCAGATGGACACCATTTGCACACCTGAATACTGGCACCTCTTCTCAGAACAGGGAAGGCTTGGTAAGGTGCCTCTTATTCATCTTAACAAACTGCACAGCTAGGGCAGATAGCTCTTGCAGGTCTCACTTAGGAGGGTGGATTACATGGATAGGGTAAAGACATTATTTACCCTGAAATTGCTGTCTAATACTTCATGGAACTAGACAAACCATTCTTCCCTAAAAACAGGCTAGAATCAAGCTGACTTCATTATGAACACACGCATCAGTCTTTTTGGTATTTTATTAAATTAAAACCACACAAAATTTAACTGCACACAAGAACACACATCTGATATTCCAAT